TGTGGGAAGCATCTTCTTAGAACCGAGACATTATTTCTAGGTTTCTCTAAGTATAGGCTCATGTGCCTTCGACAAGGAAAAGTCTCACTGATTTTGTTGAGAGTCGTCAAGGGTTGTCAGGAAAATTGATAGTATACATACATGGTCAGGGGATTGCTCATCCTAAAGCAGAGTTCAAAAGTAGGGTGGAGGGGTCAGATACTGCAGACTGTGTCATGCCTGGTCTGTGCTGGACCTTACTTTTTATTTTATTACCTGTCTGTCCTTCCATCCATCTGTTGATCCAAGACAGAGTCTCATATATCCAAGGCTAGCCTTGAACTGGATATGTAACTGAGGATGACCTTGAACTCCTCATTCTTTGTCTCTCTAGGCTAGGATAGGGAGAGTGGCTATGGCTGTTAATAACCATGGATCTGAATTTGCTCTCTCTTCTTGAATGTTGTGGTCACTTTTCCATTACATGTCGTGCCTGTAGTTTCTAAATTACCTGTGTGTGCACACCGTAGGAGACTGGACATTTTCTTTAGCTTGTTGATGGGATGGCAGCTGATGGGGAGATGGATGCTGTGAGATGGTGATAGACATATGGAGCAGCATCTACTGCTCCAAAGGAAAGAGGAAGGCAGTGTGCTGTAACTTTGCTACTCACTGCAGTGTCGTCTTCATAAGAACTTCAGGAGGTGGGCTTAACTCCAGTGGCCTTCTGGATTGCTGGAACCTGATCTGGTGGGACCTCACCACACTGTAGTAACTGGACCAGTTTGTTCTCCCCTTTAAGCTCTGGCATTGGTCAGGAGAGTCATTGTGCTAATGACCTTCATGCTGTTATACAACTACTTATCAATTTCTTGTTATTTATGGTTATGATTCCCCGGAGCTCTCTGTGGGGCAGGATAGTTTTTGTAGGCCAAAGGATTCCATTGGAAAATAGTGACAGATCTATTGACTGCCTGCTTGGGATTCTAAGATGACCTTAAATTTTTAATATTTTACATTTATTTCTAAAGGTCTAGTATTTTCCTCCAATTTTAAGCTACTTCAGAAGTGTTTAGATGTTCAGGTGATTTGGATTTGGGAAGTGGTGGCAACTGTTGCTTACACATCATGGCCAGAATGTACTGGCTGTGTGCATGCTACCTTCTTTTTGTGATTTAGAAGATTTTCCTCTTTTCAAGTGCAGGGGAGCAGGGTACCTAGTTCTCCTTCCCTCCCTCCTCACCCTTCCTCCCTTCCTCTTAAATTTATTTATTTTTATTTTATGTGTATTGGTGTTTTGCCTGCATGCATGTCTGTCTGTGTGAGGGTGTCGGATCCCTTGGAACTGGAGATACAGACAGTGGCAAGCTGCCATGTGAGTGCTGAGAATTGAACCTGGGTCCTCTGGAAGAGCAGCCAGTGCTCCTAACTACTGAGCCATCTCTTCAGCCCCTCTCCTCCCTTTCAAATAAATGTTTCTTGAAAGAGTATATTTGCTTTTGAAGTGGTCCATAGATATTAAACTTGTGCTTCGTTGAAATCTCGTGAACTACACAGCACTCCTCTGGTCCTTGTTCAGTCCTGTCTTTCACAATCCGTCAGGACTAGGGCCATGAGGACATGGTGATTGGGGCAGCACAGCTCTGGAGTGTAGTCCCAGGGCTAGTCCATACAGGAAGAGCCCCTCACTTGGACCATTCCTTCCACTCTCCACCACCACCAAGAGGAGAGGGATGACACGGGGCAAGAGAAAGGGAGACAGACATACTTTGTCCACAGTTCCCAGGCTCTTGTGAATGCTTGGGTTCATGTTATCCTGGCTCAGCCTTCCTGTAGTTAGAAGCATTCCTGGCTCTTCAACTGATTCTGTAGCTCGTTCTTGGATTGTGATGGGAAAAATGTTTTCAGCTGTTACTACAAAAATTGTTTAAGGACACCCCCGCATCTTGTGGTCTGTCCTGACTGCTTAAGTTCTTTAATGAAGGGAGGCCCTCTTAGGAGAATTTAATCTGTGATAAAGGATAAAGAATAGAAAGCAAAGCCTTTGCTCTGCCTGGGAAGCTCTGGAGGCAGCTCAAGGAGGAGCCCAGTGTGCTACTTCATGAATGGGGGCGTGCTGGAGTTTGTGGTTCTCTCTGCTTCTGCCGGCCGCTGCCTTTGCACGCACCCTATTTCTGCACTGTAGTCTTTAGCCTTTCCGTGTGTCTGAATACTGCATGGTGTAGAGGAGTCCAGGCTCTGGAACCACACAGCCTGGGTTTGAATCATGTCTCCACTGTTTATTAGCTGTGTGATTCTGGGTAAGATACTGAATTTCTCTGTCTTGATTTACTCATGTAGTAAATTGAAAATAACACCCATTCATGTACATTGTTGTAGAGATTAAATGAGAATTAGTGTGTCTGAGTGCTTAGACTTGAACACAGAGTACCCAGCCCATCCAATAAGTATAAGTAAGTTGTTATTGTTCCAACTAGTGAGTAGATGGCCTGCTTCAGATTTGTCTGCCATGCGTCAGTTCTCATGAATAAATGGGTTCCAGCTACTTACCATTAAAACACTTCTAAATGCCAACTGCCTGAATGTTTTGAATTGTTAAATATGTAAATCTGTTGAGTGACCACAGACATTGTTTTTGCTTGAATGATGGTTTGCTCTTTAAAAAGCTGTCATCTACTGATGCTTCAGACTTCCTATGTACTTGAAAGCATTCTCCATGTGGACAGTCTAATTTGGGGGCTTTGTTAAACCTATGCTATCAAAATTCGGAGTAATTAAAAATCCCCTGAAGATTTTAACCTTCAACTGATGTCCCATCAGTAAGCTTTTTCTCTGTTCCCGTTCACCTTGGAGGTGTCAGGTAAACTGGCTCAAGTCTGTGGAGTCCTTTTTTAGTAGCACAAAGGCCATGTGGGTGTGGCTGGAGACCCAAGCACTGTTCCCAACTCCATAACTTATCATGAAATCTCAATAATCATCTCTATTTTTTAAAAATAGAATGCCACCTGCTTACCTCTGAATGTATTCTCAGTATTAATGAATTATGCACTTGGATGATGGCAGCAGAGCCTACCCTGATTGTGTCACTTACCTGTTGTGCGACAAACACCATGACCAAGGCAACTTAGAGAAGAAAGCATTTACAGGGGCTCACAGTTTCCCAGGGTGAGTCAGGAACCATCGTGGCAGGGAGCATGGAAGCAGGCAGACAGGCAGGGCGGGTACTGGAGCGGTGAGTTTACATCCTTGTCTGCAAGTAGGAGGCAGAGAGGAGGAGAGAGCTAAGTGAGAATAGTTTTGGCTTTTGAAACCTCAAGGCTCACCCCTAGTGACACACCTCCTCCAACAAGGCCACACCTCCGAATTTTTTCCAAACAGTTCCACCAACTGGGGACTAAGCATTCAAATAAGAGTCTCTCATACTTACCTGGCAGGGGAGATACCATGATCACGAAGGTGGTTTTCCCAGGGCGAGGCTTATCCATTGCACTCCGGATGTGCTGACCCCTGCGATTTCCCCAAATGCGGAAAACTCGACTGCATAATTTGTGGTAGTGGGGGACTGCTTTCGCGCTCTCCCCTGTTAAAAAAAAGAAAAAAAAAATAAGCGTCTGTCTGGGCCATTCTCTTCAAAGCACCACACTGATCATAATTCTCATTGCCGTTCAAGGGAAGCTACAGTATAGGGGTAGGGGTGGGTAGTAAAGTAGTAGAAAGAAATAGGAGAGGAACTGGACTAGCCAACTGTAGATCATTGTCCTTCCTAGCTGGAGAATTTTAACCCTAAACTTCTGTTTCAGTTTTAGAAATAACGCTGAGCCAAATGTCTGAGCTATTTGTGTGTGTGTGTGTGTGTGTGTGTGTGTGTGTGTGTGTGTGTGTGTGTGTATGTGTGGGCACATGCATGCCATAGCACACATGTAGAGGTCTGAAGACAACTTGTAGAGTGGGCGTTCTTATTCCATCATGTGGGTTCCAATGATTAAACTAAGATTGTCAGGTTGTGGAAAAATGCCTTTCCGTGACTAGCCATTTTGCTGACCCTCTGGGGATATTTTAATAAAAGGTGCTAGTGGGTTTTTCTCATTGCTCAAGAAGAACATGGGTCAAAAGATAGAGATTCAAGTGAAATTTGTTCTTATATTACCACTTCTGATGTGCTATTTTGTGTATCTGCTTGGGTGTGTGAATGCGTGTCTGATGTGGAGGCCAGGGGTCAGCTTTGGGTCTGTTCCTCAGAAGCTGTTCACTTTGTTTTTTGAACAGAGTCTCTCACAGGGATCGGGGCTCACTCACCAACCAGGCCAGGCTGCCTGGCTAGCAAGCCCTGGGGACACTTGTGCTCTTTCCTCCTCAGCTGAGGTTACAGATGTGCACCAGCATGCCTGGCTTTCCTGTGGTTGTGGGGATTGAACCTGGGTCCTCAGGCTTGTGTGGAAGCACTTTGCCGACTGAGCCACTTCCCTGCGTTGGTGTACTTGTTGGCATTGCTTCATTTGGTTGGTTTTCTAAGTTTCTTTGACAGAGCAACTTCATGGAGCCCAAACCTAAATAAAACAAAACCAGGACAAGCTGAAAACAAACCCCACTTGTAGCCATTGCCTTAAACCCCAAGGATGTCAGCGTGAAATGAATAGACTGATATTTCTGCTTTGCAGTCTTTTGGTGAAATGAATTTAAACTAACCGAAAACTTGTGGCTTCACTTTCTAAGGGCAAGGTCGGCCTTTCTCATTGATTTGAGATATTAAGGATATTGGCATTGGGGTGTTTGGGGCTAAACTTTAACCTCCAAGTGGCTCTTGGGATTTAGTCAGTTGCAGGATAGCAAACACAGCGACTGGTGTGGGGCTCTCAGACGCGGGGTCTCTGGTGTGGTACTTACGGGGGCTCCTGCCTGTGTGTGTTAACAAGAGCACTGTTGTCTTGTTATTTTGGGGTTGCTTTTGAAGTAACTTTGAAGAGAATTCCTGTTGCCTGGAATTGATGACAGACTTACACCATTTCCTCTTTTTTTCTTAGACGTTCCAACCTCAGAGCAGCCTGAACTGTTCCTAAAGAAACTTCAGCAGTGCTGTGTCATTTTTGACTTCATGGACACGCTATCTGATCTTAAAATGAAAGAGTACAAGCGCTCCACTCTTAATGAACTGGTGGACTACATTACAATAAGCAGAGGCTGTCTGACAGAGCAGACTTACCCTGAAGTAGTTAGAATGGTGAGTTTCTTTGTCGCCGCTGACACTTTTAAGCATCTTCCATAGCCACTCATGGGTGTATTGATTGCAGTCAGGTCACCGAGGTCTCCTCCACAAACAAAAGCCACCCTCCTGAGAGCTAAATGCAAGCAGGCAGCACAGCGCTAGGATTTGAAGAGCATGATTTCCTGATGATGAGACAAACCCAGACCGTCCCACCGACTGCAGCGTTGGAGTGACCTCAGAGCGTGGAGCTGAGGGCCAGGGTGCCATGGATCTCTGCAAAGACACAGGAGAATCAACCAGTGTTAGATCTGTTTGAAAATATTCAAGCCTGTTGAGTATCTTAACTCCTGCCACCTCTTCATTGTGGCATATTAGAAATGGCATTATACTTAATAAAATTATGATTTAGAGAATCTAATTAAGGCCTCTCTTGGCTTTATAACGAATCCCTGTCTTTGTAATTTCCTTGAAGTCAGGAGTAATGCCTTTCATGATGTTAGAACAATGGCACTATGTGTAGTCCTTAGGAATTACAGGAAGAAACATTGTTTGTATAATGCAAGCAATTATGTTCTTATTGTGTCATTAATTACATTAACTTTTTAAAAATTGAGCCCAAATCTGACTGTTAGGTTTCTCTGGTGTGGCTGCCTTCCTTAGCATCCTAGAAGATTATGGATTGAGAAGCTATTGTTTTTGGGAGGTGGGTGGGAGGAATGGAGAAGGCTGGTAACTCAATTCATGCAATGCAGCTGCAGAGGTTGAAAAGGGCTTGGGCATCATTGGGAAGGCCGCTAGAGGAACAGGCACATAGAATGCCTGCCTGCTCAGCATTGGGAGGGGCTTTCAAAGATCAGCTTGGGAAAGTGAGCGGTATGTGGCAGCCATTTGTAGATCTGAGGGGTAATGGAAAACATACATACATACATACATACATACATACACACACACACACGACATTAAATACACATATGTATGTATTGGATTTGTTATTAATTTAAAGGAATATGTTATCAATAGTGTTTTGTAAGCTAACTATTATTATTGTTGCTTCTGAGTATTGCTTTTCAACAAAGAGCACTTATGCCTCACAGGGGACATTTGGTAATGTCCAAAGTCATTTTTGGTAGTCATACTGTATGAGAAGAGAGTAATTCCATCATCTTCTGGTTAGAGGCCACAAATTTGATGGTAAGCATTTTAAAAGGAAGCAAGAAAGCCCACATGAGAAAGGTTGATCTAGTCTCAGATATTACCTCAATTACACTGTTGGGCAACCCTGCTTTTGAGTGTATGTCCTTTCTAAATCTCCCAGCCAAACACTTAGCATCTTTTGCAGAGCATGCTCTCTTGGTGTTAGCTCACCCGTGTGTTCAGAGATACTCGCTTATAACTTTGTTCTATGACTTTTCTGTAGATAGCTCATGAGGATGGAAGCATATACCGATGTATTTGCATAAATGCTTTGTAAATGTACGGATGGTGTGCTGCACACACTTTCTGTACATTCCCTCTTTACTTAAGTTTGTCAGTACATAGAAAGCCGCATTGGTTGCAGCTACCCAGCATTTCATTGTATCCTGTAGATGTCCTTGCAAACCCATCTAGTTTATTCTTTTATAAGGATATCTGTATGTTGAATGTTTTTGTTTTTTTTTTTTTTAAGATTGTGGGCTTTTACTTTTATGTACACAGAAAAATTGAGAGGAAGGTGCAGAGATGTCCCATTTGCCTCAATTCCCACTCATCTGTGGCCTCTGCTCTCACCATCCCCAATGACATGTTTGTTATAATAAATGAAACTACACTGGCACACTCCAACCAACCAGAATCTGTGGTTTGCTTTAGGGTTCGTGCTTGGTGCTGTGCCTTCTTTGGGTTTGGATAAACGTCTAGTGACATGGATGGACCATTCCAGTATCACATAGAGTCGCTTCATGCAGCCATTGCTCTCTTAAGAACCACTGACCTTGTCACTGTCTTCATAGTTCTGCTCTTGGAACCTGAAAGATGCCCTTTTCCTATTGCCTGCTTTCACTTAGAAGTGTGTTTTGGTTTCCTTCATGTATTTTCATTCTTGTTTTGAATTTTTGAGATGGGGTTAAATATAGTAGCACAGACTGGCCTAGAAATTGCTGTGTAGCCCAGGCTGATCTTGAACTCTCAGCAGTCTTGCATCAGTCTCCCTAGTGCTGGGATTACAGATGTGAACCATCACACCCAGCCAGTTCATTCTTCTCAGTGCTCAGTGATAGCCCATTGTGTGACAGTGCCACACAGTCTTTTCATTCACCTACTAAGTATCTTGGTTTCATCCACATTTTGGCAGTTACAGCTGAAGTGCCTCTGGAAATCTGCATATTTGTGTGGGATGTACATTTTCAAATCCTGTGGTAGATAGTGAGGACTGGAATTCCTGGGTCTTAGGATCAGTATTTTGTAAGTCACTGTCAAACTAACTTGCAGAGTGGCTGTACTATTTGGTTGCTTACCAGAAACGAGAGCTCTGGGGCTCCATAGCTTTATCAGCATTTGATTTTCCTCCCTCCCAGATCGCCCCTCCGTGTACTTTAGCGTCTGGCCCCTAACTCTAACTCTTGTTTCCCCCAAAGGACTGGCTTACAGTGTGCCACTGTTTTTGATAAGCCCAGTGCCTTCTCCATCCTTCAGGTCCTCTGCTCCTTGACAGTCCACTCTTATGGAATACACTGCCCTTTATTCTTCCACACATGCATCTAATTTTTCCAATTAAGAGGTAAGTATCCTAGAGAAGAACTGTCCTGCATATCTTAGTAGGCTCTGGAATGCCTCTTAGCTGAGCCTAACTGATTTCAGGCTCTGAAATTATGATGAAGATACTCTATCATTCAATTATATTGAGTCATTAAACCTAGTATTTAGCATAATGCAACAATTTCTTGCACTTTTGTGTATCATAAACCAGCTTTAGTCTCCTAAGAGAGTTCATCATTTCATGCCCTTAATTCCCTTCCCCTTTAAGCCATTTATATTCTTTAAGACATTCTTGAGCCCTGCTGTAGGCAGCTTTGAGTATGTGCATACATACTGTTCTAGAATACTTTGTATAGGGTTCTCAGATGTATATTGTCTTTTTGTATATAATTTGTAAACTTTGCTAGCAACTAATTTGCTATGGTACTTTGCAATCTGGGGTATTTATAGATAAGTTCTTATGATAGAATAGAAAGTGAACCCTCCTAAGTTCAAGGGCTATCCTTGGCCATCTTCACATGCTTTATCACCGAGAATTACTTATCTTTGGTGTCCTCAGTTTTCATATGGTGCTGAGAGGTTTACCTAAATAAACAACTGTGCTGTGTGCACATTGGCATTCTCAGAACTTCAGTGTGTGTGAACAGGCTAATAGTGTGCTTACTGCTTTTTAAGAAGGCTTGGAACCAAAGGTCATTTTGATGTTGCCCCCCCCCCCCCCCCAACTCCATTTTGCCACCTCTAAGGTCCTGCAAAAATTCTGGTACTGCTTATCTCCCTGTGTCATACATCTCTGGGCGTTGGGGGGCGGAGGGAACAGGTTGTGAAGATTAGCAATAATTTTATGTAAATCTCTTAGACTAGTCCCTAACCCATGACAGAAGGTTTAGTAAATAGCATTTTGTTTTGTTTTTTGAGACAAGGTTTCTCTGTGCAACAGCCCTGGCTGTCCTGGAACTAGCTCTGTAGACCAGGCTGTCCTCAATCTCACAGAGATCCACCTGTGTCTACCTCCCCAGTTCTGAGATTAAAGGCATGCACCACCACCGCCCAGCTAGTAAATAGCAGTTATGTTTTGCTATTAGATACCTGACTTTGCATGGTCCCTGTTTGTAGATTTTACATTCTCTGTCAGCTAGATGTATTCTCTTCAACTGCCTCAGTTTCTTTCAAATTCTGGAGCTCAAAGGTAATCCTGCCTGGTGTGTAGTCACTGTCCCTGCCTGCTCCTCATTCTTGTTACTGTGAAATGAAACCACTTCACCCGGGTGAGGAAGTGGTAGTATTTTTAATGGAATGCTAGCTGGCTTTTGAAATCCAGGAGGAGTAATGAGTCAGGATGCCATGGTATGGTGTCAGGCTTAATACCAAAGGCTGATCCAGTCTGTTGGGACCTGTACTTGGAGAGTTGTTGGTTTTCTTATGAGGGACAAATGAAGTAGAAAGTAAGGTATGAGTTTGGGAGCCCACTTTTACCACCCAGATGAAGTCTGGGCACCACCCACAGGCTACTAGAGTGAAAGAAAAACACTTTATGTGTAAATACAATCAACAAAACATACAGTTTACCTTTAGAAGAGAGTGGTTATAGTGGGAAGAGCCCCAGGGAGAGCATATGGAAACTACTGTCCTTAATTCTCATCTTAACTAGTGATAAGTCTTTGGTAACTCATTTTTCTTCCAAGCTTCAGTTTCTCCTATTGTTAATGAGGGGAGCTGATGATATCTCAGATCCTTCCAGTTCTGAAATGGATGACTTTTGGTCAACACTGTCCAAGTCATGTAGAATGGCTTTCTCAAGGTTTACTAATTAATCACTTCCCAAAGCAGTTGCTTACTTAGGTAAGTGGTTTGTTTTGTATTTTTTTTTTTTTTTTTTTTGGTTTTTCGAGACAGGGTTTCTCTGCGTAGCTTTGCGCCTCTCCTGGAACTCACTTGGTAGCCCAGGCTGGCCTCGAACTCACAGAGATCCGCCTGGCTCTGCCTCCCGAGTGCTGGGATTAAAGGCGTGCGCCACCACTGCCCGGCTTGTTTTTTATTTTTGTGGTGTCTTCTCTTATGGAAAAAGATATTGGACCTTTAGTTGCTTTAGGCCTTGCTGTATTCTATTCTACATTGTCTCTAAGGTCAAGCTTTTGTTTTTATGGTATATATTTTTTTAAACCACATTCTACTTATAATGTCTTTGGTTCTGTCACATGTATCCACTTGAAATATTTCTTAGAATTTTTTGGCCTTCAAATAACCTATTCATTTTTGTTTACCTAAATTTGATCTCTCTC